GCGAGGAAAAAGCGTCTCGGTGATGTAAATTCCAAAATCGTTGCGAGGAAAAAGCGTCTCGGTGATGTAAATTTTCTGTAGCGTTGGGGCATGCCTTGATAAATTAATCAATCTGTCGTTGTGAAGCATGCCCCGATGAATTAATCATGATAACGATGATAAGCGCCTAAGGGAAGAAAACAATTTAAACCCCTCCAGCCAGTTCGCAGTATAATGAACTTGTTTAACTGCCGTAAATGAACTATTAGCAATCTGGTGTGAAGAATTTAGAAGTGTTATAATGTAACACTTACGTATATGCATCCAGAGACCTATTCGTAATTAAACATAAGGTGTTTTCCTGACTAACTGAATTTCATGAAATCTTCTAGCAAATGGTTTATTCAAATAATCCTGATTGTTAAATTGTGTTTGCACTAGCTGACTATTAAGAAAAACTAGCTTGATTGGTGAATTTACAAACAATGAAACAAAATTTACAGCACGTGTTCGCGTTCGACCGGAAGTCCGCATTTCTCTGATTAAAAGGGCGCAAGAATAAACCACGCGGGCTGGGGACAACTGTATCATTATGAAAAATACGTTTGATTGTCGTTAAACAAAGGCTTCTTCCCGTTTTATTAACTACCAAACCAACTAATTTAAACCTAGCGCTTACCCCGTGGTTACACTCACACCAGCACGTTCAGAATGAAATCACTCTACGCCATGCAGCTTCTCTCTACCAACCCTCTAACTGAAATCACCCTAGCGCTACGTGCTGCCATCTAACTCAATGATCATGCATTAACCCAGACATGTCTATTTGGTTGCCTATGTTTAACGATTCCCTTTTTCGTGATTGATTTTTTTTTATTTCAAATTCAAATTATTCAAATGTGATTTCGCGCCGCTGTTAATTAATTTCAGCGCGAAAACTTTGATTTAAATTCGGTCACCATAACCGAGAACATGTTTTAACTGTTATATCTATTGAACAAATTAACAACATTGTGAGTCATGGGGAGACGTGCGTTTTATTGCTTTGAGTTAGCCCATTGTTACACAACGCCACAGGATTCATCGCATATTTGCATCGCATATTTTCGACGCCTATTTTTTTGGAATGACGAATTCGTCCGACGCCAATTTGTACCTGCAGATTGTCTGCCATGTTTTTTTGTTTATGTGTTTGTTTGGGGAAAATGTATAGTAATGGCCCACAATGTAGCTGAATAATTTCATATTTTGAATTTTAACCAATAACTTGACTGGACACGAATTGTTATTAATCTCATGTAAATCTGTTAACTTTGCAATGTTTCACCTCACACAATTCTTCTTTATCTCACAATTTTAGCCTCAGTAATTTATAATTTTCCTTGTTGTATAATTTTAATTGAACGTAAATTTCCATGCTCTGCAGTTCTAACCTCACATAATATTTTATTTGCACAAGTTTATTTCACACCAGATCTTTGTTTTATAAATCTTTGCTAACTTTTGATCATGTAAATATTTTTGTTGATGAATATTTCTGTCATATTAGAGTCATAGAGTTTGAATATTTAAATAGAATTGAAGGTAAATAACACAATAACAGGTAGTGTCGACGATGGGCGCGGTTCCTAGTCGAGATAGCGGAATGTATCGCGCTATCTGCACAACGTGTGCAGGCTTTGAATACGATTCAGTGGGAACGGTCTGGACGACGAGGTAGTTGTCAACCGGACTTCACCTCTAGTTTTCGGCCGAAACGGTCTGCTAGGGCAGCATGTTCGTCATGGAGGTGTGCTGTGCGGCAGGCTTGGTGATAGATAGAATCACCGTCGCGGGGGAGACCAGCCCAGACCGGGAGCCCCAAACTTCGCTTGCGCTACGACGCCCCCTCTGGGTATTTTGCTGTGCTCGTAAATGAAATTGATATACATATTTTGTTCGATCGCCACACTCTCATAACGATTCGGGTACTGCCATCCATTTTACATATGTGTAGGTTTTTGTGTTTGTTCGGTTTTCATATGTGTATGTCTTTTATATTTTTTTTTTGCGAGTGTTTTCTTTCATATATCTTAAGGTGTCTGAAATGTAATATTTCGATGAATAAAACCCCAGGGGGTTTTTGGGAATGAAGACCGATGACGCCTTGACCCTGCGTAACCACCAGAAGGGCACGCTGAGTCACTGTCAGTCTTCGTTTCTTTTCCTCCTAAGGAAGGATTTCGACCTCCCTAATTTTGTCCATTATTTCTTGCACTCTCAACTCACATGCAGTATATGCTCACTTGTATGAAAGAACGTCTTCCCGCCATTTTTCAAAAACAAAAAAAAAACAACGTAGGTTCCTATTTGTTAGACGATTACAGCCAAGGCCAAACTTTGAATTTTTAAATTTTTCTCGGGCCTTTCAAACTTTTTCCAAGGTCAATTTAAAGGCGGGAAGTTTGGGTTATCACAGCACCTTCTCTCTTGCTTCATTATTTATTTTCTTGGATGCACACCAGTCAGTGAACCGTTTATAAAATTTTTCGTATTTGGTTTTTAATTTATCAGGCAACAATGAAGACACTACATATTACAGCAAATCGTGTGATTACAGATAACTCGGTCTAACGGCCTCGTCATCTACAATCTTCGCACTCGTAGTGCTGTAATAATGCCTCTATCCCACTAATGAGGTAAATAAATTGTTGTTATGAATATTCATTCTAAAACAATAAATAATAATGTTATTGTCCTGGTTTTTGTTTTATTTCTATGCGTATATCTGGTTGCATATATCAAAATGTCAAAATTACAAAAAGAGTTGAGTTGTATAATGAAAAAGAGTGACGGCCATTACGGGGAATCTGTACGTTTGGCTTTGATTTGATAGTGTTGTCAATATATTTTCAAAATGTAATATCTCCATTATTAACACACTTATTATTGTTATAACATTTTAAATATAACTTGTCCACAACTTCCACTATACATATAATAAGCGAGGGCAGTTTTTTTTAAACAATTTATTACGATCACATATTTTTTGAATTTTATTGAAATTTTTGCATCACGTATTTTAAAAAAATCTGTATTTCAGTTATTTATGTAAATTTTGGAACCACGGTTTTCAGCTTGAAATCGTACTACTAATATTTTCGACTTTATTTGTTGGAAGTGAGATACAGTAAAAACCTTAGATCATATAATAAATAGATACCAATACTCAAACTGAAAGCTTTGACTAGACATGAAGCTATCTGTTGTAGTTTTCTACGTCAAGGGGAGTAGTATAATGCTATCCTTGTGTGATCACCACATCTTCATCTTTGTTATATGCATTTTATCTGTATATGTCTATTTCACTTCCATCCACGGTGGTATAAGTAAGGTGTGTTTCAACTCCATTCATAAATTTTGATAAAACGGGCGCTTAAAAACTGATATCGTAGTAGGTTGTGGGAGCTTAAGATGACCGCCACCATGTGGTAGTTAATTGTACTATTTGCACTATCAACTGATGTTTGACATGACATTTGACGTATATTCCCCCTCGTCTTTCAAAAAGACGTCACAAAACTTAACCTATAAAGCTGACATTTTTGACAACTTGCATTCAAGGACATTTTTGACAACTTGCATTCAAGGACATTTTTACGCAAATTTCATCCATATTGCTCGTCCCGTCGTCTTCGTTGATTCACTATTAAAGTCTCTCCAATCCCTTAAATGTGACATGTGAGGGCGTATACGTCGGGAGGGAAAGGAATCTGTAATGTCGGCTAAATATCTGTCATGGTCTGACTTTTTGACACAATTTGACATAATGTATTTCGGTTTTTACTTGAAAAAGAGGCAAAATTTCGGTACCGGTGCCAAAGTCACAACGCCATAGGCGTGGATGGTCTTCAAAGGGATATGCAATAGGAAAATTTTTTTTTGAGGTGTTTACATTGTTATCGGAATGTGTCTCAGGAATTATGAAGCTGCATTCTGGATTACGTTTAGTGTTTGCTTGGTAGCTTGAAGAAGTAGGAACAGGTAGCGGTGACTTGGATCCATGGAGGAACAAAGTAGGAACAGAGCCGGGTTTAAGTCTTTTATTTGAATAATAACAACTTCTCACAAAAGTGTTTACCACAAATGTATAAATTATTGGCAATATTATCACCTGAAATGGTTTTAATGGCTATACATTCCCTTAGGTAAAAGATTCATGTTGGGGTACCTACTTGTAGCATTAAAAACCTTTTTGCACCACAACCTTTTGTTTACAGTGTTTGAAGGGAATCTGTGCATTATTTTGTGGTCTCTAGGATCCTTGATTACTACACAAGCAGGCACAGAGCAATATTTTTTGGACATTTTGATAATATCAATTCAAGCACAAACTGTTTTGGCGCGTAACAAAACGGATTCATTACAGGTTCCTGTAACTCCCGAAGGGGGTGACATCTTTTGATATTTTCCCTTTTGACAAGTCGGACGATTGTAACCAATACGCGATCTAAATAATGTGACTCGATCTTGAAATGTGTGGCAATTAGTAACTTTTATGAAATAGAAATATATCTGTGTCCTTGTTATGCTCCGTCTTTTCGACAGCAGGTATTTTTTGCTTCCAGGATGGCGATCCTGTTACGTGCTGTTACTGTCATTTGGTCATCAATTGCCTTGGTGGTAACACGTCTTCCACGACTGTTTGGTGGTTACCGGTGACACTTTCTCGTTGAATAGGGCTGGAGTTACTTTGGGACTGGAATAGTGTTCTTTCCGGTCCGTTAACTCGATAATTCTAGTACAGTCTGTCGTAACCTCAAATCGTAAACACATCAAACTTTCGTTGACAGTTCCTACATTTGATAGCGAAAATTACTAGCCTCGCGCTATCTTTGTTTAACACATAGGTTAGGTTCCTCTCTGTCGAATTCCGACCACAGGCAGTTTGCCGTACTTTCTAAAAGTAATAGTAGATCTAGTGACTTTAGATCTAAATAATGTGACTCGATCTTGAAATGTGTGGCAATTAGTAACTTTTATGAAATAGAAATATATCTGTGTCCTTGTTATGCTCCGTCTTTTCGACAGCAGGTATTTTTTGCTTCCAGTATGGCGATCCTGTTACTGTCATTTGGCCGTCAATTGCCTTGGTAGTAACAAGTCTTCCACGACTGTTTGCTGGTTACCGGTGACACTTTCTCGTTGAATAGGGCTGGAGTTACTTTGGGACTGGAATAGTGTTCTTTCCGGTCCGTTAACTCAATAATTCTAGTACAGTCTGTCGTAACCTCAAATCGTAAACACATCAACCTTTCGTTGACAGATAGCGAAAATTACTAGCCTCGCGCTATCTTTGTTTAACACATAGGTTAGGTTCCTCTCTGTCGAATTCCGACCACAGGCAGTTTGCCGTACTTTCTAAAAGTAATAGTAGATCTAGTGACTTTAGATCTAAATGATCTGATACGACACCTGGTGTCAAAAATGTGCACTACTCAGGAGCATAGTGAAAGATGTAAATACTGTTGGTTGTACAGTGAAATTTCGTTGTTTTATGTTAAACCAACAAAATTAAATAAGTTGGTCCCAGTATTCCTGAAAAAATGACTGTTAACAATACAAATTGTTGTGTTTTTCGCTGCCATAGCAAAAACAATAGAAACAGTGTGCTCTCTTTTCATAAATTCCCCATAAAAAACAAGTCATTTGTTTAAATGTTATGAACAGGTAAGTATTCATATCAACAGTAAATTTAGTTTAATCAGTATTTAACTAAATTGTTTTTGATTATCAGTATAATATGTATATATATATTATATTTTTAGGTTAGGAATCAGGGAAAAAAATGGACAGATATAAGACTTGGATGGTAAAGCTAAATATGGGAAAACCAGCAACAAACCACATGAAAGTGTGTTCACTACATTGTAATCAGGATGATTTCATATTGAGGATTTGATTTGAGGACCCAGGTGGGTTAGTTAGCTTCGTGCTTGCCCACTACACCTTGGGTCGTGGGTTCGATTCCCGCCTTGCCTTTTGGGTGTTGTGTATGTCATGTTTCCTGTAATTGGGCCTCCAGCTTGTTAGAGACATCATAGGATAAAATAAATAAAAATATTACCTGGTAAGTACAGATTTGGGTAAATGTTAATGTATAATAGACAATAAATGAAATATTGTAGATGTAAGTATCATTACTAAAGAATTACTACCTAGAAGGCCCAAAAATCGAGACTTTAAAGCAGTCAGAAGTACAACAATGAGAAAATCTGAAGGTTACATAATTTCAAGTACAGATAGTACTGATGTAAATTGCTTCGACAGCAGTCAGTTACATCAAAAAACTGTTTCAAGTATGTATACATTTGATGATATTTAAAAAATACAGATTATTTTCTAGCATTAGAAATGGAAACCGTGCAGGCTTTGTTACATTTACAAAATTCACAAAAAAAGGATAAAAATATTCAAGTGACAAGTGGAGATTTGGTGGCACCTTTTATAAGTACACTTAAATCTGATAATGATTTAAATACAATGGCTGGAATACCATCCTTTCTGTTATTTAATGCTATTGTTGCAAATTGTGAGATGTTTGGAAAATTCTGTAATAAACATAAATTAAACTTGAAAGAACGTGTTCTGTTAACTTTTATGAAACTGAAAAATACATTTTCTTATGCTGTTTTAGCAGTTTTGTTTAAAATGGTGACAGCAATAACCTGTAATATTATTCATGCTTTATTATTTTATTATTATGCATTATTCCACTCATACATAGTATGAAATGAACACTTAATTTAAAAAACAATAATCGCTATAATTAATAAAGTTTTCACAGAAGTTTTAACACCACATGATTAAGCATGTGTTCACTTAAAAAGTTAAACAAAGGGTTAATAAAATGAGAACTACAAAAAAAACTGACACAAACAACGAAACAGGCTGTAAACTGAACAAATCCACTACAAAAACGCTCGATTTATTAACACAACACACTTTTTTCACACGATGGACACTCAAGACTTGCCATAAAGGATACGTCAAATATGCCTTAGAGCGGCCATGTTGCAGTTAACAGTGGCGCCCCCAACGGTCATTTAGTTCGCGTATTGGAGAGACTTTAATAGTGAATCAACGAAGACGACGGCTCGTCCTTTGTGAATAGTTTCATCATAGTGTCCAATAGACGGCGCTAGGAACTTTAAGTTCCCGTGGCCTCCTGGGATCTCTTCGAAAAAAGACCATTTTAAACTGGGAGTTCGCAGACCTGTTATATACGGCCGTGCTTCCATCCTTGTACCGCACCAGCGCAACAAATCGCTTTTGACAGATGTTTCTTCTAACCTCTCTTTCGAGTTGTTGTACAAAAAACAATTTTAGAATTTAGATCCTATTTTAAGTGATGTAGTCATAAAGGATCACAATTGCTGTCCAATAATTTACTATTCCTTTCGTTATCTACTGTGAATTATTTATAAAATCAAGCTGTCAACATCTTTCTTCCGAAGTTAGTTCAGACATACTTCCTAAAATTTAGGCGCGCAAAATTCAAATAGTGATCAGGCAAGGATAGCTTCATTGTAATCCCTCCATGCACGAGAGAGATGTATGACAGGAGGATGTCGTCACAGGCTGTCCTAGGGAAAGAACACGGCATGGTGGTATCTATTTATTATATGATCTAAGGTAAAAACAAACGTTTAGCAGCTTCTACGACACAAGCTTTTTTCCACATGTCAAAATTTTGCCGAATAAATTCTACCCAAAATGTGCAAAATATGATGAATTTTTACTTGTAATGTACCATTGCATTCATATTTTTTAGATTTGCTTATACAGGCTGACTCAAAAAAAATTAATGAATCAGTGAATTTACATATTTTATTAAATAAATCAAAAATTGCAAAACTGAATACTTTGAAATCTTGCAAAAATTTTGAAGTTATTGTAAGCGTCGTAAATTGTTAATCGAAATGTATCTGTTTATTCCCTTCAAAAAATTGATGACGTCATCTCAAAATTTTGCCGAATAAATTGTGCCCAAAGTGTGCAAAATATCATTAGTTTTTAGTTGTGTTTTATCATTGCATTAAAATTTTTTAGATTTGCTTATACAGGTGGCTCAAAAAAATTTATGAATGGATCAATTTATTTTATTGATTAAACCAAGAACGGCTCACTCCATTTTCCCAAAAAATTTTGGGAATGCAATACTGTTATTTTCAGTATTACACCGCACCCATTCAAGTTGATGTAGGTGTCCTTTCAAAAGTGTTGATGACGTCATCATAATAAAAGTGTCTAAAGAAAAAACTCAACTCGAAAATGTTTATTTATGTAAATGTTGAATATGTTTCATTGTACTTTAGATGCGAGGGAAGTTCTGCAAAACTTTGGACCAATTTTTTAGAATTGCTTATACAGGTGTCTCAAAAAAATTAAAGAATGTTAGTTAATTTTATTGATCAAAATGGAACGGCTAACTGCATTTTCTACTTCATCTTACTACGGTTGTCATAAAAAAATAAAATTCGCAAAATCGAATTTTATAATTTTTAGAAAATGCTGGGTGTTTCATTGTACAAGGGCGAGGGAAATTCTGTCGAAACAACCTGCGATCAGTTTTTAAATTTACGTTTACCAAGCAGAAGATGAGAACAGGAGTTTCTCGAAACATGCCCTTTTTTAATAAAACAGTAAACTCATAAACAACCTTTTTACATTAATTTTAACCTCCACTCAGAGATATACGTTCCACGAACAATTTTGCATTTATAACCGAGTACATCTAAAAAATTGTTGTACTCTTAATACTCATCACCTTGACAAGAGACCACGCGAAACCATAACATATAGCTTCACGTCATATTCCTTCCATTTCTTCTTTCTGCTCTACGGTCACGACTGCGCCGCGCATCTGGTAAGGTAAAAAAAAAACAATGTAATTTCAAAAGTCTATTCTCATGTTTATTTTGCAGTACACAAAAATATGAAGTAACTTTCCAGTTTTTAATGTTTCTAGACAATAGTTTTACTTCATCTATTGCAATGCAATGGAGGAACTTGCTACAAAAAAAAACTAAATCTAAGTGAAGCGTATTGGTGAAAAAACTAAACAACTTTATATACAATTAGACAACAACCACAGCATTGATTTCCTATCAAAATTTGTACTGAAGGGATTAGGATGTTTACAAAAATAGAATTTATTGATAGAAGTTTATTAATAAAGATGAAGTCTGAAGAACATTGACTAGAAATGAAATGAAAAACCCAATAATTTAACAGTTTAAGACAGAAACACTTTCATTCTCTCGTCAATCCGCTTCCTGCACACCGGGCAGTTATTAAACTGTCTTGAACACTCGTCACAAGCTAAAATGTGTTTACACGGAATAAAAATCACATTTCGTTCGTTCGAGTCGCAAATTTTGCAACGGAGAATCCCGTCATCTGGAGACGCACTGGAACCTTGTTCACACACATTCTGCTCGCATTCTTTTTCTTTGGTTATGTTGTTACATGGAACACCAGACTTGAGTTTGCGCTGCACATCTTCAACATATTTCGATCCCTTACTTTGGAGAAGAAAGTTGCACTTGGGAAACCAGAGCGCGTGCTGTTCCCAGGGATCATCATCATCTTTCCAATCTCTTAAAGCTCCACCACATTTGAAACAAATTGTATGATCTTCAACTCCACGATAATAGAATCCGGCTTCTGCCAAGATTTCCGGTTTCTGTTTTGAAGATTTGGGCCACTTGACGAACGATTCTAATCGAATTTTTTCATCTTCGTAATTCCTAACCATGTTACTTAATAATCTGAATGTTTCGCTTTCCGGAATCGAATTACTGAAAATTTCTGCATTGCCACATACATCTTGCCCAGAAGCTTGACTTCTGAAAAATTCAAAAGGACTTATGGCTGTATGAAGTTTATCTCTAATAAAAGAGCAATTCGGAGACCATTTTCTATGTTCGTCCATTGGATCATCACCAGATTCCCAGCTGCAGATTTCTGCATTACAAAAGGCACACTTAACAAGATCTGGATTGGCAGGGTTGTTCAAAAAATAAAATCCAGCTTTAGCTAACTCTTCTGGTCGGACTGCCTCACTTTTCCAATGTTTGAACGATTTTAACCGTTCGCCCTCCTTTCTGTAGTCCAGTTTGCTCAAACTTTCGGTCTTGTGACCGTTATCTGGTTCGGTGATAGTTTTTCCCGTGTATTCGCATTTTGAGCCATACTTTGGAAAGATGTTTATTAATGGTCCACTGTTGGGAAGAGTGTCAACCATAGTTTCCTGGAACAATCGAAACTTATTTTATTAATTGGCACCAACATAGTGAAAAATAGGAACAATAATATAATACATTGTTGAATTAAACAATGTATTATCTAGAGAAGGAAAACATTTTTGTTATCACAATGTAGGGAAGCTTGAATTCCTATCGCCTTTTTATAGCTCTGGAACTTAATACATTCAGGAATCAACAGACAAACTAAATGGAAATGACCAAAAAATAAAGAATAAACAACGACGTTGAAATAGTATCAACCAGGGTTAATATTTTGGTTTCGTTTCTTGCGCCTACAACTTTGTCAAATGCAAACTTAAAATTATAAGATTTCAGTAATCTTAAAAATTTAATAGCTATATGATTTAAAAATTAATGAATAAAAGAGTGCAATTCAAAAACAATTTGAGAAAATGGTTTCTAGGCCTACTAGTTTTCAACTTTAGAGACAGAAAAAACAACTTGGATTTTTGATGTACAGTCGCAGCTCTTTTAAGGCGTACAGTTTATGAACGCACCCTACGAAAATATCAAAATTTGTGAAGTATATATTTGGTTTTATTCCATCAAGTTGACGTCAATGTCATTTAAAATGTCACAATTACCTCAACTACATACAAAAATCTGTTTTTATCAGAAGACTGAAGAATCGTGCTTCTAGTAAAAATATAGCGCAAGAACTTCACCTCGACAAAAAAAAGATTTACGAGCAAAAGCAAGCTACTTTATAATTCCAGGTACTTTTAGTAGTATCAATTTATTGTCATTTCAGAGCAAATAAGTTAAAGAGAACTTCTTTGTTGCAAAATTTTCGATCGGCTTCAATTTTTTTTGTTTACAATTAATTTTTTTCAGGGCACATACGTATATGACGTTTTAAGAGGAGTTTACAATGCCAAAATTTAATGTTTGTAAGACTTTAAAAATGGCGTAACTTATTTCACGTCAAATGTTAAGTATACGTAAGTTTTTTTAACCATTGCCTTTATACTTCTGAATTTTATGTACAAAGAACGTGACTCTTAATGTATGCGATTTTTTTTTCTTCTCCGTGATTTAAAAAAAAGTCCAAAGTTGCAGAACTTTCCTCGCTCCTGAAGTGCTGACGAACAATTGTTTCTTCGAAAAATTATCGAAATTCATTTTGAGAATTTTATTTTATCATCTGTATGGATTATTAAGTACAGGTTAGAAAGCATACATGTAACAAGTGAGATTTTCCATTATAAAATTTTGTGATGACGTCATGAACATTTTAGCAAGGATACATAAATCAATAGGCGCAGTGCAATATCAATAATAATAATAATAATAGCACTCAGATTTTCGGGAAAATAGGGTGTTCTTTAATCAATAGATTAAACTGATCTTTTCATTAACCTATTTAAGTCACCCTGTAGAATTCTAAAAAAATGGTCAAAGGTTATTTCGACAGAACTTCCCTCGCCGCTGAATTACGACAGAATAAGACCAGATTTTCCGAAAAATTATACGATTTGATTTTACGATTTTTTTATGATAACCCTTATAGGCTAAAATAAAGGCATGTATGTAATGATAAAAGAAGCGTTTCAAGTGAGTTTTTCCATACCAGAATTTTGTGATGACGTCATCAACATTTTTGCGAGGCCATGTGCATCAATTGGGATAGATACAGTGTAATACTAATAACAACAAATGTATATATAACAATAATAATAAATTTTGGTTAACGATTTATTTCGCAAGATTTCAGAGCATTCGGTTTTGCAGTTTCAAAGTTAAATTGCAAAATGTTGTTACACAGTTTTGATGTCTACGGTGAAAGCTCAGCATGGATTCATACACAAGTGTATGAGTTTTTACATATCTTTATTGTAACTTATAAAAAAAAAAACTAAATTCGCAAATCCAAGTCTTATAATTTTTCGAAAAATTTGGAGTTATTTGTACTGTATTTCCGAGGCAAGGGAAGTTCTGTCAAAATAACGTTAGACCAACTTTTTCCCCAAAAAAACTGCATGTCTGGTGCAAACACTCATAAATTTGAAGAACATTTATTCTACAAAACTGTAAGACGACACAATTTTTTTTGAGGAGGCCATAAACGAATAAATTAGGATTAAAGATTTATCATGTAATCTTAAAATCTTCGCAACGAAGAGCATTCGTTGCTGCAATTTCAAAAAAAAAAATTGTAAAACGTTATTATACAACTGATTTTAAATTCTGAATGCCCAAGGTAAAAAATCCAGATGGATACATATACCACACATGCAAGAGTATGTTACTGTTACTCTATAGTGTCAAAAATTGTAAAATTACGTCATCATTTGGGGGCATAAACGAAAAATTATGAATGATGTTACACAATATAATTTTTTTCTAAATATTTAAATTTCTAGCGTAAAAACACGGACTCATAAACCACACGGGCTAAAGTATAATGAACTTTAAATAACATTACTAATGTACATTTTGGTTAACGTTTTACGATCTAGAAGATATTCCAAAAATAAATATAAAAATTGACAACAATCGGTCCCGTAGTTTCGGAGATAATCTGTCTAATAAAAATTAACACGATCGGACGGACGGACGGACGGACAGACAGACAGACAAACAATGATGGCCTATTTTTTCGTACTCTGTCATGAACCCATGAAACGTCGAGAAAACGTGAAAGTAGCCCGTCATCCGATGAACTCGATTACGATACTTCCTTAGTTTACAACACAGATGACAAACAGGCGAAACGGGAGGCCTAATCTTGGGGGGTCATGAACATGCAGAAAACAAACTAGCCAATCGTCGGATGGACCCTATTACGGTTTGCTTACGCAAGTAAAAGTGCTTAGTTTACAAGTTATAAACTGTTAATAAAGAAATCAAGAATTTATATACAAGTAACCCTAACGATTTTTCGCACATATTAAAAATTACCATATGTTATATTTTATAAGGCATGATTATGGCATGGTATTTAAACTAATGTATTATATTTTATGTATAAATAACAGTATATTATACTAGTTGAGCAAGATGTTCAATGTAGTAAGAGTTGTTTGGAGCATGAGCGCAGCCAGCCAAATCAGCACGATATTTGTTTAAAACAATTTCTTTAAATTTATATAATCGAGGTGAAAACATAATCTGTACTGGCACTTTATTGAAAAAATTGTGAAATTTTGGGTATAAATAAAATTAAGTTTCAATTGTCCTTTTCCTCATTGCAGAATAAATGATGCAGTCGACAGTTTCTGACCCTGTGTTGTCAAATCGCAGGCGCTGAACATACACGTCACGTTTACGAAACACCGTATCTACAGATTTAACTATCGCAAATCGCAATTGTACCCGTGGCACGATAACGTCCAACTTTATACATACTAAATTTTTATCTCCCGCACCACTGCGTAGACAAACATCTCTGTTATTTTTAATAATGTTTCCCCGTCAAAATAACTCATGCTAAGTTGCCAAATCGCCCCGTCGGCGAACTCGCCTATTTGCATTTTATTATTTGGGATGATTTCTCCAGTAATTTGATGGTGTTTGCTGGTATCGATTTCTCTCGAAACGTATTCCTCGCCGCCGAATGCAAGTCTGTGGAATTTCTTGCGCCATCATTAGTGGGGCGTTCCTACGAAGCAAAGGACAGATAGTGTCCGAGTAATAATCGTACGGCCGTCTGAGTACACTCGCACCGAAGGGACCCAATGTCGGCAACATTGTTGGAATTCAGAAACCATTCACGATTTCCAGCATTCCATTCTTACCGCTCCCCGACCGCTACAAGCACCCAGCCCTACCACATTCCAGAGAGATCACATCAATGGTCGGTCGGCCGCCAGCACCGGAAACACGAAAAAAAACTCCCATCGAGAGAAAAAGAGACGGATGCAGACATTCCCAGACGGTCGGGGGTTTGCCCATATATCGACCATATCCCAATTGAATCTCTATGAACTTAACTTTGATGTTTTGGTTTATCGTTTTTGCCTTAAGTGGGACACAAGGACGACATATGGCCACTTTCTCGTACGTCAAAGTGATAGGAAAGCAAGCAGTACAGAAACTACGAAAGTGTGCTGAAATATCTCAGATTGAATGTAACTAACCTGATTAAATTTAAAGAGTTTCGAAATCGAGTCCTTAAAATAACATGACAGTTATCAACGGTTCAGTGTTGTCACACTCTCCACAAACCACTACAGTCCACGTACTGAAACGTAAACGTAAACTTCCACCAACGACCAACTCGAAACTGACGAAGATATCCCGAACACACCGATCTAGTACGAACTACGAATGCTGCGCGGTTGCCATATGGGACCGTGAGAAGTGGATTTTACAAACCCGATTTCGTACTATGGCAATTCTAATTGGACTATTAAAAAAAAGAAACAAAAATATTTACGTTGTCTTTTTTATATAGATGCAGTGTACTATAGTCACTGCCATCAGAACTAAAAAAAAACAAAATTCTCAATAACAACTGACCATGAGATTTCCTCATGAATGAAAATTACAAGTGATTTGCAAATATGCGTCATAGGTTAAAAGTACATTCGCGTGTAATCGGAATGCCTGTCAATGTCGTACAAGGAAAATCGATTTAACGTACTATCACAAAGTTGCGGGAAATTCAAAGAATTAGAATCAACGAAGTTGATTGAAGATAAGAAAAATATTCAGTGAGTTTTGAGAAAACGATAACAAAGTATTAATCAACTGTTTTAAACGGGGTAATCTAAAGTTCAAAAAATGACACCATTATCGTCTCTTTGTCGTCTGTGTTATGTGTCATCGTAGCTGGAGGTTTTCCAAATTTTTAAGTATTTCTAAATGCGAAGTATGTACGTAACAGACCAGTCAGCGAAACGCAGTGTCTCGAAAATTGTGCTACAAACAACATACTAGCTATAATGACCTTGTGCCATTACTATTTTCCCAATTCATAAGTAAACAAGAATGTCATAGTTTCAATAAATTACAACAAAATCATAACTTATTATTTACCTTAAAAAACTTCATATCCACCGTTTGCCACCTTGATTTACAAAAAAAAAAACTTTCAACTACAAATATTTTATCACAGCACATGAAGCAAGTAATTATTATATCTGAGTTGTTTTCTGTTGCATGGTACCGGTCTGGTTTAAATAAAGAAATGCGAACAATAGCTTACAGGCTGAAAGTCCACGGATAACAAAAGCAAATGTAAACAACCGTGTACTTTACTATAAATTATGAATGTTTTTCACTATTTTGTTTTTTTTATTACTTATCTGAAAATCTTTGACGAAACCGTGTTTTCGGGTAAATTAGATAATAGAATAACAATTAGACATTCATAATTCGCAAACATAAATGTTGGAAAAGTAAATTTCTCGTTCTCATTTTTGTACGTAATTGTAAATATGTAGTATTATGGTCTTACTACTGCGGCTTATTTAATAATAATAACTATTGTTAATCTTATAATATAGTATTTGCCATTTCTATTGAAACACCACTTGTTAATCGTAAATTTGGCAACGTTCATATTCAGACAATTTTCTATCTAAAAGCCGTTGTCAATCAACCGAAAGCTGTTAACAATTGCTAAATTTTAAGCAAAATCAACAGGTGGTGTTTCAATAGAAATGGCAAAGACAATACACTCTGGTCGTTTAACACTAAAACCTGGTACTTTTGACAGTTTCATTAATTAATCTATCACAATTAAATATTTACTTTACACTCAGCCATTATCATTATAATAAAGATTAAAATATAAAACGGTTGTAAAAGAAGGACAAGAGTTTGATATAATTATATATACAAATAGTATTTTATTTTGGAATATAGACTTAAAACTTAATAAACATTCAATTTGTTGATTAATATATACATAATGTCCAACTATTAATGGACTTTAGTGTTAATTATCGCGATAGTGGACAAAAAAAACTCATCAGTGTCGACTAGTTTCGTTTATTACTATTAAATACATATTACATCTTCAGAACGTTAATTACTGTACTTACACTTGTTATTATCTTGTGTTTCTTATTAAACTGTGGATGTTCGTAAAATGGCGTACATCTTTTGTCACTTTTCTTAATTTGTATGAAAATAGACCATGTACAAAAATATTACAAACAGTATAAAAAACTATTAAAAATATTGGACATAGTATATTTAAAATTAGCATTGATTTGTGAGTGTAAATACAATAATAACTTACGAGAAAATTAAACAAGTAAGCAAAAGTGAAACAAAACCGTGTAAAATAAAATAACAAATTAGTATTGAATATTCAAAATTGATAACAAAATATTTTTGGGGCTACTTTGTTATGGTATGAACAAAAAAAAGCTGATGAATAACTTGCAAAGTGCAAAATTATATCAACATTCTACTTTCTGTTTGTAAAACGTAAATGTAACTGTTGCATTTCTGTTTCCAATGGAATTGATTTATTATTTATTTATTAGGCTCTTCCTCACCAAATACTACACTGCTGAGTTTTTCATGTATCTAGAGATAGACACTCTTAAAAATAAATGAAAAAGTTGAGCTTTTAATTCTTTGATAGGCAAACACTCCCGAAAATCAAAATCAATTGTAATTCCCAGGTGTCTTATTTTCTTTTAGGAAAAAATTTGTAAATTGCAGACACAACAAGAATGAGAAGAATATAAGCAATCATTCTAAGAATATGAATGTAATGAAAAATCACAAGTATAGACTCCTCATATTTTGCACATTTCCCATTGGATTTATTCGGCAAATTTTGAGATGACAAAAAGAATTTTTTGGTGAAGGATATTTTGATTAAAAATTGACCGTGCTTAAAACAACTTTAAAACGTCTGCAAAATTCCAAGGCATTCGGTTTTGCATACTCAAAATTAAATTCGAAAATGTTATTATATAATTTTGAATTTTTTTTTCCAAAAATCTGGATATGTCTAGTAAAAACTCAACACGGAATCATAATTACACATGCAGAAGTATGTTAGACTATGCAATTGAAACCCATTTACTATTTATAATTTTAAGATGACGTCATCACATTGTTGGTGGGGATGATTCGACAAACATTGGGCTATCTGTCCAACAGAAATCGACACAACAGACGGAGGACAGACAAACAGATAGACAGACAGATAGAAGGAATTGGGAGACCCATTTTTTTGGTAGTCTATGGGTCATGACACATCGAGAAAATATGAAAGTAGACAATCGCCCAGTGGACTCGAACACAATACTTTCTTAGTTTACACTCGGGAAGTAAAAATAAAACGAAAGTAAATAGAGAGTGTGTATCATCAGACGAGAGCTGTGTTGGCAATGTTGGTATTATACTTACTCTGTTCTCCACCTTCGACAGTTTCTCTAGTAAAACGTCTTTTAATTGCCTCTTTTTGAAAGTTGTTCAACACGGATTTGGACATTTTTAGCAAGTGCTTCACCATTCTATGAATTTTTTTTAAGTATTCACCGTTGCAAAAATTTCAATTATAGTTTTTTTTTTATTTTTCCTTATTAGTATGAAATATGTATTCTCTTATGTACTTTTTATATTTAGCAGGGTTACCTATTGTGACGCATAGCACAGTTGAATTCTAAGGCATCATGTTGTCCAAATTTTGGCCTTTATGATTAAAATACAAAAAAATACTTTTGTACAACACATTTTGAATGGTACTTTTTTACTCGTTTCATTGACAACCTTTAAACTTGTGAAAAAACATGACTTTCAAAACTTGTAGCACAAATAACTCCTTTAATTATTTAGTACAAAAGTTTTTTTTTTCACTAATTCACATTCCATCAAAACGGAAATTTTTGGTTGAGCAGTATGTCGCTACAGATTATCACAAGTCACACTGTCGGAATCTGGAACAGTCGAAGCTGGTTCAATTTCTTTAAAAAGAAAAAACAATAGTTACAGCATTTTCCAAAAGTGAACAACGTACATTGAGTTCGGATTTGTGCGAAGCTTTGGTATGTGCAGATATACTTACCTTTACAGAAAGTCCAAGACCCATCATTCAAAAAATTTTTGGAGAAATATGCACAAAAATCTATGCCTGACGAGAGCACTCTTAGAAAAAATTTCGTTCCCAATATTTATGAAAACATCTTAAATAATATTAAGCAGAATATTGGTGAACACTGTATATATTTTGTTGTGGACGAAACCAGCGGTACTTGTGGGCGTTACATTGTAAATTTAATAGTAGGACGCTTGAGAGAAAATGAGCCTAGTCCCAAAGTCATTTAATAGCATGTAGACAAATAGAAAAAACAAACCATTCAAGTATTTTGAGATTAGTAAGTAAATGTTTTATGATTTTTTTTTCGCCTAAAATGGTAGGTCCAAGTGACAAAATTGTACTTATACTAGCTTGTCCATTTTTATGCACATCTGACGGTCTAATTGATAATAATGGTACGGTAGAAGTGAAGTGTCCTTATTCTGCACTCATGACATTCATGACACCGGATGAAACCATTTTCCAAAAATTGATAACTATGTATAAATTAGATAAACAAGGGTAAACAATTTTAAATAAAAAACATAATTATTACTTTCAAATTCAAGACCCAATTACGTATTATATTCTCTCCCCACCCTTCCCTCCCGCCCGGCCCCCAAAATTTTGGGAAAAATGGAGTGAGTCGTTCTTGATTTAATCAATAAAACAAACTAATCTATTTATGGAAATTTACAACATATTAATGCAATAATAAGTCGCAAGTCTGAATGAATCATATTTTGTACAATTTAGATAGCCTTTATTTGGCACAATTTTGACATGACGTTATCAGTTTTGGGGGTGGGGGGGGGGATAAAGAGATATATTTTGATTAAAAAGTTATCATGTCTGCAATAACTTCAAAATATCTGCAAGATTTCAATGTATTCGGTTTTGGAGTTCTTGATTTCATCAATAAAATAAAATGAGTCATTATTTTTTTTTCATCACTTGTATAAGCAAATCGAAAAAATATTAATGCAAATGCAGTAATTTCAAAAGTGTGCGGTATACTTTATAGAATGATAAAAAAAGCAAAATAAAAATAAGAAACAATACTGCAAACAAAACTTAGGCGGCAGCTCTTTGTGCAGGTGGCTGCTGTCTGTCTCTGCAAGTCATATAGTAATTTACGCAACTAGTTCGGGATAGCCTGCTTCCCGCATGAACGCTTGTTTGAGGCACGACCAAAGGGAGTGCCGCATTTGCGTGAATGCGGGAAGCAGGCTCACGAACGTGTTGTGTACAATATTTTTTGCGACGAATAA